AAATGCAAAGGATTCAAGAGGATGATCCAGAAAGAGCAAGAACTTGCATTTCTTTCCTTTCCCCACAGAGTGTCCCCATTTCACTGTTCCTTGTTCAACAGGCGACCCCCTCAGAGTAGGCTGAAGTCCATTTTGCAGAGAAGCCTACAAAGGTTACTTAAATATGTATTTGTCCCTTTCTAAAATGTATTATATTGCAGTTAACAAGGCAAACTGAAAGTTCCCTTTTACTTATCATAGAGGTTTTATCCATCTTGGTGACTTGAAGATCAAATGAGGTTTTTTAATGCATACACACACACTGGATTTCTTGTCAAAGCTTTTGTTATTTGGTGTATATATAGCTGTAAATACAATAATTAAACCTAAGTTCCTAGATAATCATTATCATCTTTATATTTTAATTCTTTAGGTACTAATTAATTTTTATATACTGGCTATAAAATTTTATAATTTAAACGTATCAGAAAATTGCAGGTTTTAACTTTGTAAGTCGTGTGTTGTTGGCAAGAGCATTTGAGTGCATGAAAGCTGTTTTTTTCTGAGATACTTCAGTGTTTTAGATGTAGGCTGAAAAAGTAAGTGTGTACTCAAAAAAAAAATCAATTAGTCTCACTAGGTTTCATAACAAAGAGCTTGTTCTGAACTTTAAAAATTTTGTTCCAGTACAGATATGACACTAGAGTGGCCTTTGGACATTTTTTGATCAGTTCACTAATAACTTGTCTTGCAGAGCTTAAAAAAATATGTTTCATCAGCCAGTGATTTGCAATGTGATTAGACAAAGGCATGATCATTCTCAGATTTGTGTCATATGGAAGAAAACTAATGTAATGGGCTACAGATAAAAACAGATTATTTCATTGACAAATTCATAAACCAACATATTTTGCATTTTTTTCCTACAACAGTTTTGTATTCATTTTAGACTGAAGTTAAACATGAATAAACGATTAATTAGATCCTGTTTTGTATTTTGTACTTTATATTATGTGGCTAAGTGACTAGTGCAGAAGTTGAGACAGTCCTAATTTTTGCTGATTAAAAGCAGAAACGAAACAGACGTGTGCTGGTGAGGCCTGGTTTACATCAGCAGAACAGATGTAGCATTCACCAGCAGGCAGAGCAGTTTGCACTGAAAGGGCTTCAGTGACTCATGCTCCAACTGTCTCAGTTACAGCCACAAGCCCTTAGGTCGGCAGAGATGCTCTGCATCTGACAGACCCACAAGGAACCCGTTTAAGACACTGTCCCAGAGAAGTATCAGCTGCATAACCAGCCAGGCTAAAAAAGCATCAAAAGCACATCTCAGTGTAACTTATAAACATGCACGTGCTCGCTTTTACTACCAACAAAGGGAGGTGTGGAGGAGGAGAACAAATGAGTCTGGAGCAGGGCTGTAACTCCAGCAGAACAACAAACCCAGATTTTTAGTGTTGTCTCAGGCCTGACAGAATCTCCCTCCAGCCTTGATAAACAGTTCTGTTTATCACAGTGGTGCTGTGAAACATGTACAAGGTTGTAGAATTAGCACTTAAATTTGTATTACATGAAAAGAGGCCTTTTAGAAAAATGGATTATTGTATTTTTTCCCTCATAGCAAGTGGAGGAATTGAATCTACTGATGCTGGAATACTGCTGCAAGCTAAGACTATTGCAATACAAATTTCCTTAAATGTGCCCCTTTTTTTCCAGCTCAACACTTTTTATCCAGGTGGGACAGACTACTGGCTGCTCAACTTGTGTATCCATATGCCAGGAAAGCTGCCCAGCTGCTGCCAGATGTTGTACCTTGGCACTGCCCTTCTGCAGGAGCTGCTGTCTCCCAGTTCATGACCACTGCACAGGGCTTGATTTCTGTGTAGGAAATCTTCTGCAATGAACTGGTAAATCAGAATAGAGCTCTGTATGTATTTGAGAATTTTCTGTATTTTCAAACATACATTGCTTGCATGAGAGCAAAACATCTGGATTTTCCCCTGGTACTGGAGGTGGCACAGTTTAGCCAGTTTCTGGCTTTTTTCTTCTGATGTCATATTTTCTTTCTTATTTCCTAATTTTTGTTCCTCTGAGATAGTATCTTGGCCTCCATAAAATCAAACAGAACAAATCTTTCATTTTTTCCTTTTCAGAATTCCTTAAACATCCGTAAATTTCTCTAAGGTGTTTATATTTTTTCCACTAGCACCTCTGCATACATTCATTCATTGTCAAAACGGGTTTCTATGCTCTGCTACCCTCTGCTCCTGAGATATGCAGTAGATACACGGGGAAAAAATGCTATAAAAATCTGTTAAGGATCCAAGTCTAATTGATATTTGTCTCCTGAAATGTTAGACAGTGTTGAATGTTCAGATGCTATGACAACAATTAGTAAAAAGAACTTCCTCTGCCTTCTGGTATTTTGCACAAGAAGTCTCTTTTGGTAGCCTTCTTTTTAACATGAATTCAGACGGAAAAGAACCTAGAAATTATCAAACCAGCTTCTCCATACTTAATAACATTTTTAGGTCTGACGAATGGTTGAAGTTACTGTTATCTCACCAAAGCCACCCTTTTCAGTCAGGATTGGTTATACTGAACAACAGTGTTTGTTCACAAACTCAGTTGAGTTTGTACTCAACTGAGTGTTCTGGTAGGGAAGAAGAGCTTTCTGTGTGGTTGGTTATGGTTAAAATTAATGACAGCATCATTCCAGTTCAAAAGGACTTTGGAGGTCCTGACTTTGAGTCCAGCCTCTTGCACAAAGCAAGTCTAACACTGAACTTGGACCAGGCTATTCTGGGTTTTGCCCTGGTGGAAGTTAATTTCAAATTATGAGTCTAATTTTTCTGTCACACTCTTCTATGAAGAGCTTTGTCTCTCTTTTCTTGGTAACTTCCACTTAGGTATTGGAAGGTTGCTAACTAGCTACCCCTAAGCCTTCCTAATTAATGCCAGCTTCTGAGAGGAAGAAATGGAGTAATTTTAAGGACAACCAATGAGCAGTGAGGCTTATCAGGTGGTAAATAGCATGTAATAATGAGAACTTCTGTAGATTTTTGGGAAATACTTGGGATGCTGATGTAACGGGCACCTGAGCCAATGAATTAGTTCCTTTCAGACACCACATCAGCTACTTCCAACGAGAGTTTAGAAGTGAGTCCAACAGGATTCTCAGACTGCCTACAAAAGACCTGAGCCAGTTTAAAAGCTGAATTTGGATGAACAGCAAAACAGACATAATTTTTTGCAACTAGAGCACTGGGTTAAATTTGAATTCCCAGCTCACATTTCTGAGGCAGACAATCTCCCTGTAGGAATCTTTATAGACTCAGTGACATCAATCTGCACATCCATAATTACAGTCTACATGCCATTACACGGCAGCCGTGCACACAGCTCCCGCAGCCCTGGGAGAATCAGCTGGGCCTGCAGCAAGCAGGCAAATGCAAATCTCGTCACAGATAAAGCACATCTTCCTCCAGATATAGACGAGCTCACACCCACCTTGCTAATAACAGGCTCTACTTCTCTTCAGTAAGATTACACAAAATCAAGCAGCACATCCCATGAGAATACTGGCAGTGTGCTGTACTTTGAGGTACGCACATCTGGGATCGCTGCAAAGTAAGAGACTGTGAACAAATAAAAAAGGATGTCTAGGGAAAGATAGAAACCAACATAAATTGAATTACTCTCTCCACTTTACTTTTGCATGTCTAAGTAAGTAATAGCCATGCCAATATATTAACCTTTACATTAAAGTAACTTTTCCCCCTTGGAAAAAGCGTTCCAAATACTGGAAAAGTATCAACTATCCATCCAACAAGAAGGTACATAAGGAAATAGCACCACCAAGTATCTTGAAGTCAGGCATGTGAGCAAACTCCATATTGTACCACTGGACATTTTTTATCCTTATAGGGAGAATGAATCTTTATTCAAATGATACTTCTAATGCAGTCGATCAACAATTTCGGTCTAGATCAAGAACTCCAAATGTAACACCTCTGAAACGCAGCCGCCTCAGAAGACGGGAAACTGAGGCAGACTGTGTTTGCACAAAACTGCACCGACACCGGCAGCGATTTATCTGTCTCCGTGTGTTTCCAAGGGTTCCGCAGGGTTTACTGACGCTGTGAGGGCATGGCTGGGCCCAGTGGTTTGTGCGGTACCTCAGGCCAGAGACCCGGCCGGCGGTGACACCTGTGTGAGGGGAGCGGCCGGAGCGCGGTGCTCCAACGCTTCAGGCACGGGCCCGCGCGGGCCGGGAGAACGGGAGCCGCAGCCCGGGGCCGGGCAGCGGGCGTGAGGCACGTGCCGCGCTGCGGAACCACTGACGGCCCCGGAGCGCGGCCCGGGCCCGGTCCCGGCCAGCGACTCTCCCCGCACGGCGGCCGAGGCGGCCCCTGCCCCGCTCCTGCCGCGGCCCCCGCGCTCACGGGCACTGCCGGCCCCGGCCCGCCCCGCGGCTGTCCCGCGGCCGGACCGAGCCCCAGCGGTGGCCGAGCGGAGGGTGGCGGCGCCGGCGGAGCCGCCCCGGCGCGGCGCCTTTGTTCCGAGCGGCGGCG